TTTCATTGTTGGATGTTTATCCGAAGTTTCATGCTTTGCTTGAGCATTTAATTGTGTGAACCTCTATAATTATGTTCGTCTCTGAGTAAGATGTGGGATTTGATTCAACGACAACAATTCATCAATTATGGGGGATGGGGGAGGGTCAAACTTCCAACTCGCCCAGAAAATCGGGGCCATTGATAGAGCTGGTAACCAACAAATGAGGAAGAATAGTATTCGGCTCGAAATTAATTGATGCGTGCACGTAATAGAAATCTCAAAGTTAAATAATAGTAGGTTTTAGTGTAGAAGTAAGTGAGGTCAGTTGGTTAAAGTAGTGAGTCAATTACTTAAAATTAAGTTTCCTTCTCGATAGATTAGATAATTTAGACTCTAATAATAATTAGAATTACATTAATTTAAAGTCATTTAGACTCTAATAATAATATTTGTAATGATTGCCTTATCAATAAATTAGCACCATCCAAGAAAACTGAAATTAAGTGGCATCGTTTCCGGTTGCCATGTGTTCATGTTTTAGATCTAGGGTTTCTTTGTTTAATGTTTTATGAGCTTTATTGTTTATCTGCTTTTATATCTTTAGGCCTGCTTTATTTGTTGGTGTTGAGCTGCATTTGGATTGAGTTTTCCTCTTTTTGTCATGTTTCCCATTATTAATGAATAGAGTTTCGCTTGACCAAAAAAAATATATATATGTTACGGTGCAGTGTAATTGAATGGCCCAGGAAGTTGGCTTTAAGATCCAATTATAAAATTAAGAAAATGGTTTGATGCAAAGGGAGATTGCCACTGATCAATAAATGAGTTTGAGTATTCATTAGCATATGGTCGACGACAGGGATAGATAAATAAACAATTGGGGATAATGGGAATGAATTATTAGCGTGTTGGTTAATTAGGTCTCAAGCTAATCTAATCAGGCGCAAATATAGCGAATCAATTTGTTTGTCTGGTTCTGGTTCTGGTTCTGGTTCACCCTTGTTTGCCAATTCGAAGGAAGATATTATAACATTTTATGGGTAGGGTAGGGCCAAATTTGAAAACTGATATTATTATGTTGCCAGATAGATGCGGTGAATTGTCTAGGTCTCTGCTTTGTTTAATGTTTGTCTTGTCTCTTGTGGCGATGACGAGTACAAGTTGTCCACTTGTTTCAACTCTCAAGAGCCAAACCCTAAAGCCAAAGCCAAGCAATAAAGAAGAAGAAAGAAGCATCAACATGGGCAGTGACGTGCTGATTCATTTACTGGGTTGACCCGACTTCTTTTTAATTTGATTGTTATGGGTTGCTTGCTATGTACAAATGAAGAAGAAACGCCAAGGCAACGTCATCCACACTTGAAGAGCTGCTGCATTGCATAATTGCATTTGCATGGGAAAACAATCATTGTGTTGTATTTCACAAGCATCTAATTGTTTCTCAAGTCACAGGGATCGTATTATCCCACCATCTTTTATGATTCTATTGAAGAAAACAGAATGGTGGGATGGGAGAGGGAGGGAGTGTGGTGTTTGCCAATGCCACCCCACTACTACTCAAACTAGAAGGACACTGGACATTCTAACTTAAAAGAACAAAAAGGCTATTGATTCACTATAATTTCCATATCTCGACTTTCTCCTCCTTGTTCGTCACAAGATATGCTCTCCGTTCTAAAAATTACGCATATTCCTCGAGCAGAAGCAAAGAGACCCGAGAAGGAACAATTTTCGGGGGCAGGCTACGGGACTACTTTATTTTTCAAGGCTCTAGCTATTTCACACAGAAAGTAGAGTATAAAAAAAACCCATACTAAATGGATTCATTCCAAGTTGACAAGAGTGTAGAGCAGGAAAGGCAACAACGGTTGTCAGGCCAACCATACATAGGCAACAACGGTTGTCAAGCAGGTCATAGGGGGCAAAGCTTTCTCCAACACAGCTTACATACCACGAATCCACATATCTGAGTCACTTCCAGGTGAATGTTAATCAATTGTTGTTCCATCATCTAATGAGTAAAACTTTTCCAAGTTTTCAGAGTTCTTCTTTTCTCCTCCTTTCATCTCTCAGCATTTCAATAGGGGATAAAATTATTTGATAACTAAAACTTCTACCTTGTAAATAAACTCAACCTTACAAATGCAGCAAGGATTCTTATTCTCCCCCATTTGTAATTACTACAGGCCACTGTCAGTCTGTCACTGACTTCAACCTCATGCCACTGCCACATAGATTGCCAATATTTCTCCCACTTCCTTTGTTTAACCCTCGTAATCTAACTATAACGTAGTGCAAAGTTCCTCCGGGTCTACATTAATCTACCCATGTGTCAAGGGACATTTCCTTCATAAAAGTTTCACATACCTTCAGCTAACAAACGCTCAGCTAATATTAATACGAGAGGATAAGGATTAGTTCTGTGTATGAGGCAAGTAAATACAAAAACTACTTTAGACAACCAACTGCAAGATATTTGCTACTATGTTGAATCTGAAATCCCTGTTCTTCAAAACCAAAATAAGAACTTCCTTAAGCTTTTCAAATGAAAGCTATCCAGCATATTGTCAGCTATGCCACTGAGTTCAGCACAAACATAACTGCAAATAACAATCTCTAAGGCATATTCAATTCAACAGCCCTGAAGATCCTTCAATTTCTATTTGCACAGTTGCACGATCAATACAAACTTGAGGTAGATCAAAAATTATATTACCATGAGCCGCTGACTACCTAAACTCCAAAGAAGACATCTCTAAGCCCAAAAGAGCATGAAAACACACACTGTAATATGCTTTTCACTGGCACATTAGTTTTCCAAACATCTTTTCAGAGAAAGACAGACTCTCTAAACCCAAAAGAGCATGAAAATAAGAGCACATTCTAATATGCTTATCAACTTTCACAAACTCTATGTCTGTAACCTAAAACCCTAAACCTTATCTGAACCCTCACGCTCTCAAGCAGAGTACTATTTGACACGATTTGTTCATCAGCACCTAACTCAATCATTTCCAAGCTATCCATCTAGAAAACCTACCTCAACAATTCCCAAGCTATCCGTACAGAATACATCAATAGCAAAAACAAATAAAAATTACCTATAGCATATAAACTCTATGAGCACACAAGCAAATCAGGTTACTTAAAAACTTGCCTCCTGGATCTGAGTGATAAGAAAGTACAAAACTTACTACCAGACCAGAAACATCAAAAGCAAGTGGTGTTTTAATTGTTTTGACCAAAACTACATTCCACACACCCCTATCAATCAAAATACACGCTTCAACTCTTTGCAATGCCATAACCCCTATATGCTTAACAGTACAATGCAATTATACACTAAACTTATGTAACATAACTGCGTTTTTTTTTGTCACATGCTTCAATTGAACATACACATTAAATTGATCTCTCATTTATTCCTCCCCATGACAAAATTACTCCTCAGAATCACAATCAATATCTTGATTCATTTTCCATAACAAAACATGTAACAAACACAACAACAAGAATTATTGAAAACCATAAAATTTAGCATCTTTAAGAAATTAAAGTGTAAACAGACACTAACCATCACTCCAAATCCATAAAAACATCGCCCTACAAACCCAATTTCTTTTCAAATTGAAGAAACAAGAGGGTTCATTTTAATTTTCCTTACTTGCCCATTGACGCAATCCAATCCACACCCGCACTGTGGGCACTCGTAAAAGTTGTCAATCGGAAACGCAGCAGAAGCGATCCCCACAGAGAATTCAAGATCGTCGCCGCTCCGAGTGACCTCGACGATGTTGAGCCACAAGAACAAGACCTTGACGCTAACCCCAGTGAGCCCAGAGAGCTTGTTCTTGGAGATAGAGCCACTGATGGTGGACTTATACTTGAGCTGGTACGACCCTTCCAATGCGAAACTGCAGGAACCGTTCAAATAAGCTCGGAATTGACCGTTGCTTCGGTCCAGTTCGTAACCAGTGACGCCCTTCGGGAGCAGACCCATCGGGAAGTCGAAGTCTTGGATGATATCGTACGCCGACCGTGAGTCATCGTCGCCGGCGGCGGCCGTTGATGACGTAGCGAAAGGGGACAGGATGACGAAGAGGGCGAGAATGGCTGCGAGAGACGACATGGTTTTGGCTTTCGGATTTTCTCTCGCTTCTCTCTCCCCAAGTTTTTTGTTGCTTTTAGTATTTTTCCGGGAATTGTTGTTGGTGGAGAGTCGGTTTGGCTTTGACTGACAGCGGTGGAGACGCCGTATACAGTCCGAATACGACAATAATAGTTCTGCAAAAACGGCGACGTATGGAGGAGTTTGTATTCTTTTAGGTAGTCACGCGCTGTTGGCTTGGCGAAGGACGTGGTGACTTCGCTGTAATAAGAAAGCCAGGTTCACATTTGGAGGCTCTCCTCCCAAAAAAGGAAGGGGGGAATAGTAATTTCCCACTGACGGTGACACATATCACTTTAAAAAGTCAAGCCTTTTGATCGTCTGTGTGGATCTCTACAGCGGGTTAGGTAGGAATGCAAAGTCGAATGAACAGAAATAGAATTGTAGTTGGAGTTGGGCAGTAAACATTACAACAGCCCAACACTGTACATCTTGAGGCCCTTTTTGTTTTTAATTACCCAACCACCTTTTTCTGCACGTTGATAACTACCCCTTCTTTTTTTTATTTTTCCTCTTTCATTTACATCTTTCTCGCATATGGTTTTTCTAGGTGCAAGACATTAGGGAGTCCATTGTTGATGTTTTAGATGTATCGACACTATCCCACTGTTAAGGAGGTGATTTATGCGGCGATAACATGTTAATAACAAGACGTACCGACACTATCCCTCCTTTATGTCCACATGCTTGGGAGGAATATGCAATAAAAAGCTCAACAACCAGTCAAACCTGTATGGATGGCAAATGAGTACCATTAGTAAATCCTTACATGCCAAGCTTATAGTTATGGAACAGGAGCAACCACTATTTGCTTGCTTGTGAAGTTGTGAGTGGTACAAACTCATGCAAATTATGAAAATCCGTCATATATTACAATGGTATTGTACATTTATTCTCAGATCATATAGTAATGAACGTTGGATACTAACATAATGCCATGTCTATACTGCATTTAGGCAATGAAAAATTGAAAACTAACTTAATTAAGCCGAGGACACTAAATTATTGATCTTAATCTTCCTTCCCTTCCCATTAACACAATCAAAACCGCAACCACAGGTTGGGCTCTCAACGAAATTGCCGACTGGAAAGTCCGCGGAGGCGATGCCCACAGAGAACTCGAGCTTATCGTCGTCACGAATCACCTTGACGATGCTCAGCCAAAAAAAGAGCACCTTCACTTCGATGCCACTCAAGCTCGAGATCTTGTCATCCGTAATCACACCGGTTATGGTGGACTTGTACTTCAACTTATAGGAGTCAATGGAAAAGGAACAAGTGCCATTCAAGTAGACTGAGAACTTACCTGTGGAGTTGTCTAGTTCATAGCCCAATGCGCCTTTGGGAAGAATGCCAACTGGGAAGTCATACTCTTCCAGGACTTCGTAAACTGTCAGCTCGTCGTTGACAGATGCAGATGGGATTGGGAAGGAGACCAGAAGGAAGAGAGATAGCCAGAGCAGTGTTTCCTTTGGAGACATTGTTGATGAAGTTTTGACTGTTTGGTTATGCAGGCTCTAAACGGTAGATGGAAGTTGGAACATATATATAGAGAAATTTGAGAGACAAAACAAAGAATATTCCATTTGATTCGTTTGTGCCTACATAATACATATATAAATTGCACACAACAAAGCAGATCTTATATAGAGAGGGCTAGCTCTAATGCTCTATTTGCAAAGCCCCCTTTTAATCTAAGGGGGATGGGGACTCAGAACTTAGGTGGTGCACGCGATGGGCTTACTGTCCTCGGCAACTGGCCTAACTCACTTCTGCATATAGTTAGTTAGACTTCATGAGTGCTCTCACCGAATGTGATGGCACGGCGCTACTCACCAACTGTTGACAAGCAAATCCACAGCCACACTGCGGGCTCTCCTCAAAGTTGTCGATTGAAAAGTCGGCTGAAGCAATCCCCACGGAGAATTGTAGCTCATCGCCATTTCGAACCACTTCCACTATGTCGATCCAGAAGAAGAGCACCTTCACACTCACGCCCTTCAAATTTTTGAGCCTGTCTTTGGACAAAACACCAGTTATGGTGGATCTGTACCTGAGCTGATACGAGTTTTCAATGGAGAAGCTGCAGGTTCCGTTGAAATACGCCTTGAAATTGCCGGTGTCCCTGTCTAGCTCGTAGCCTGTTACTCCTTTGGGAAGAAGGCCAATTGGGAAGTCATATAGTTGAAGCATCTCGTATGCTGATAGCGTGTCGTCGCTATAGGCAGAGGATGAGAGAATGATCAGGAGAAATGCAAAGGGAAACACCACTAACGGAGATGTGGGCTTTCTTTTATGAGACTGAGAGAAGGAAGCCATGAATTCCCAGTCCTGAAGAAGCTTTGTGGGCGTGTTTGATTAGGCGGAGAATGAGTGAGGCTGGCAAACAGAGGAGAGGACATGTGTATTTATGGATTGGGGAAGTTCATCAGTTGTGGTGGATGACTGGCTCAATGCTTTGCACATTTCACGCAATCACAATGAAGGTGACAGTTTTGTCACATTTCTAATTAATAGAATAGAATCGTTTGAATGCCGTTTTATCTTTTGTTTGTACTGCGCTAATTTTGAAGCCTACGTGGTGCCACGTAGCGTGGGGGTTTGGTTGGGGATTATCTTGATTGATGTTGCAGATGACAATTGGGAATTGGGTTTCATTCATAGTTTTAACAAAGAGGTGAAGAATTTGAAGGGTCACTATCAAAGCTTGAAAGTTGAAACCAAGGTGTCTCTGTGCTGCAGACGCATGCAAGGTTGTCAGCAGATGGTGATTGGTGACGCCTCACACATAACGTTTGTGAAACAGTCAATTTATGCATTGGAAAAAGGACAAGGTTAAATAAAAAATCGCCCATGAAGTTGTAAAAATGGATTCAATTCAACACGAAAATCTAATCTAGTGGGGATGGGCCAAATAGCAAGCTGTTCGAGAAGAGATTGGATTGGCAATTGGACTGCAGAAACTAGAAATAGGCTCTCTTTGGGCGTCCGAGGCTGTTGTGATAGAAGCGGCCCAGTTATTTTGAATACCAATCAATCAATCAAACAGCTCATCGTTCATGTATATCTCATCAATCATTCCTCTTCTCTGTGTTATTGAATCTACCACCAGGTCCAGCCGACAAGGGGCGGTATGAATCACACTAAAACTTGAGCAAAGTTGGCAATTAATTGATCTTTCTTTACAACAACAAACTTAAAAAAAAAAAATTGATACCCAGCTCTATGATAAAGAAAATAACATCATCATCGACATCGTTTCTCAGTTTTGCCATTTTAAAATAGAATGCCAAATGGCGACGACAACAAAATTGTAAACAATATACTAAAGCAAATGCAAGCGTAGAAGAAAGCATAATTATAAGAACTATTTCTAGTGCAGAGTATCAAAACTATTTCTAAGTGACGGTAAGCAGAAACCATAAAGAATTTTAAAGAGCAGTATAGGCACCTCGCAGTCATGAACCTGTCAGCTAGTGTAAATAACCACCTATTTGATAAGAACTAGAAGATAAAAAAGCAGCACATGAAACTTACAAACATACCAGGCAGCCAATTATAATTTTTCTTGAGACAAAAGTCTTCACCCTTGCTGGATCTCCTAACCCCTCAAAACACCCATCCATTGATGTTATGCCATCTGCAAATAATATGTAGCAGGAAGAAAATCTTGCCATAAGATAGATTCAATAAAATTACCAAAGCCCTCTCCCTCCAACTAAAATTCATCTAAAATATAAACAGTTAAGAATAAACATAATCTATCAGAAGCGAAGTCACAACGCTATATAGATTGTAATGACTTTCTCTGAATTTAAGGTGAGCTGAGGGAGTCCATCCTACACCGATATAAGATTTTTTTTAAATCTATACAAGCACAAACCAAACATCAGGTCCCAGCCTTATGAGGCTTACATCTAATGCACAAAAGAGGGTAAATATTAGAACAACACCACCTATAGCAGGTGGTACTGGGAGTAAGATAAATACAAGCCTAGAGAGAGTCATGATTAGAAAACCAGCTAGCCCTCGGTCAAAACAATAAGTTTGACATGTCTCATAAATTCGCATTCTCTTTCAAGACAAGCTTTAGTGAGGTTGCATGCATTTTACTTATGTACTCAACCAGCGGGAGAATTTCAAAGATATAATGCAAATTCTTCAACGACTGGAAAAAAATTCATCAATACAATAACCAATGAGTAACTAAAAGCCTGATACATACAGAAGAATCTTTGCATATCCCATGATACATTGAGAAACAACAATTGGCATTGGCAAATAACAAAGTTAGCAACGAAAAAACTATGAAATAATTCCAATCACAATCAACAAGGGTATTGTAGGGGAGGGGAAAAGGGGAAGGATCATACATACAGCTACGTAAACAAATCAATTCACATCCTTGAGTCTTTTTATCAATGCATCTAGAGATTTCTTCTTTGGGTTCTGCCTGCCTCCCCGGCTCCCAAAAGTTCCAAATAGCCGCTCAGAAGGATCCCTCAATTTTTCTGAAATAGCCACTACTTTTCTGTAGTCCAAGGTATTGTAACTCCTCTCCCTGATTACCGGATTAAGAAAATTCTCTGGATGATTGCTTAAGAGTAAATTAATTAATTGCCTCAACTCAGCAAGTGCTGTTTTCAACTGATTTGCTTCCTCATCTGAGAGTAAAGGAGCTTGATTATCTGCAAAAGATTCCAACAGCCGAACATCCACATCAATGCTCATAATTGCATGTACAGTAAACCTCTTAACTGCGTCCCCAAGTAAAGCCCCAACTATTTTCTCTGATATGTGAGAAAGGACATCCTGCAAAACTCGTTTAAGGACATGAGGAGGCAATATCTGCTGAGCAGTGGAAACCAGGGTTTCCAAATATATGACCACCTCATTCACATATTCATTCCCATTCGGCAGAGGCTCATCGGCCATCCAGTTCACATTCTCAATCAACGTCATGAACCCATCCACTTTTTGTTTAAGCAACCCGGAGAGTATCTCTTCTGCTGCATCACGGGCTTTGCAAAGCGGAAAATGCCTCCGCCCCCTCTCCACCATTCTCAAGGGAATGCCAGAAAGCTGAGCAGCATGTCGAAAGAAGAAATCACAAGCTCGCTCCATGACTGCCATATTAGCCGCTACTTGCATTGCCTGGGAGACCCCATGGATAGACATATTGATTAGCTTCAAAAGAGCCCCATCCAAAGCTTCACTTAACAATCGATCCAAATACTTCTTAACGACCTCAAAGAAATCAAGCTGCCCACCATACGACATGAAACTCACAGAATCCTCAATAAAAGACCGTACAATGCGGCAACAATCAGGCACCGTAGAACTAAATGGTGCAACATAAGGAAAAGCCGGTATGATATCAGAGGTCTGTATCTGAAACGAAAGAACATTCATGGAATATTCATACTCTTTCTTCATCAACATCTGATCAAACTTATCAGCAGAAAGTGCCTCAGCAATCTGTTTACGACAATCTGACAACAACAGCTCATGGTACTTATCCCTATGCTTGCTCAGAACATCAAGCAAGGGGTCAACCAGATATCCATACCTACGCAAAGTCACACCTAACAAGCTCACATAGTCCTTAATCAACAACAAGTGGTTGGCCGTTTGCATCCTAGAAAACTGATCCTCCAAAACGGAACACATTTTACTAACAGCAGTTTCCCACAAATTCTCAACCTCCAATTTCGATATCAAACCGCCACCGGTCCTCACAATCCGATCCTCAACAATAAAAAATCCGGCTATTTGCGCAAAGAAAGTTTGATGAGATTCAAGAAACGGAGTCATGGAAGATACCTGAAAGTCAGAAGTGAGCTGGAGCTTTCGATTCTCGAAGTAATACTGCTTGAACCGGTCTTCAAGCCCTAGAGTCTGGTGAATATGATAGGCTCTGTACAAGGGAGTCAAATCAACCCCCGGAAATCCACTTCCACCGTTAATATCATCTCCAACCCCACCGCCGAGTCCATCTTCGTCTTCTTCTTCCAAAGCGTAGACGCAGTCTCTGAGGCTGAGGCGGCTCTGCTCCTCAGCTTGGCGTTGCTTGATTCTCAGATCCTCCTCTCGTTGCCTCGCCGAGGAAGCTTGACCGATCGCCAACTGACCAAGGTTCCGACTCACCACGCGGATCTCCACTAGCCAATCGCCGAACTCCTTGCTGACCTTCCGTTCGATATGCCACCGAATCTCTGGAATCTTCTTCTCCAGCATCCGCTTGAGCGTAGACGACGGCGTTTTGTCTAGGAACTCGGACTCGATGGTGTCGACGCACTTGAGCGCCATGTAGAAGTTGCTGCTGGAGAGATGGTAATTGGATCGGGAACAAAGCTCCATCAAACGAATACAGTTTCGAACCGATTCGAGCGCGAGGTTGACGTTCCGGGAAACGTTTCGGGCTTCGACGAATGCGTCGAGGGAGGAGAGAAGAGGGAGGCCGACCGACTGAAGCTTGGTGTTGGAATCGTAGAGAGAAGACTTGAGGGAATCGACGTCGGAGAGGAGGGATCGGAGGTCATCGACGGCAAGGATGAAGTCTTGATAGTGGGCCTTGCATACCTCCTCGATTTCAGACTCCTTGGATCGAGAGAAGTGGCGGAGGTGCTGGAGCAACGTATCAGGCTTGCCGGAAGTGAAGACCTTGCGGACAAATGGGCCCACATCCTCGCCGTTGCAGATGGCCGAGGAGAGGAGCAGTTGGTCGAGTTTTTCAGCCGAGTCTGCGCTTTCCGCGGCGGACGGAGCCACTTTCCGCCGAGATTTTGTGGATTGCATCGTGTCCTTGTGGGGGAATAGAGCGCGGAGGGGATTTAGGAAAAATTACAAGAGGGGGAGAGAGGAGTAGTTACTTGGACATTTGAGGGAAGTTTAGCTGTTTGACTGAAAAGCCACTCGGAACGAGGGAAAATGTTAGGGATATACGAAGAATACGGTGGGTAGTTTAGTAATTGAGAGGGATGATGATAAAATTCAACGGCGATTCTGACGGAGGGGTGTCTGAATCTCTGACGACAGAGTTGGTATCACGGTAGGACAACAACAGATTTTAATCAACCCTGTATTTATTTTTGTCAAATAAACGGAATTCAATTACCAATTCTTTATGTTATACATTAAGTATGAATCATAATTAGCAGTGTATTGTATTATTTATCACCACTTTCGTTTGAAGTAAAACATTTGTGATAAATTCGATACTTATATACGTGTAGTTTTCATTATGATGATGTATTGACCCGTTTGAAAGTATCTTGCAAATAACTTATAGTTTGGATGATTCATGAACTTAAGTATTTTAATATACTGTTACGAATCAATAAATCGATAATTGCATTGCAGAAGAGATAATCCACAGCTTAAACGTAGAAGTTATGCCAGCTAAGGAATAGGAAACTGCCCCACATGCGAGCTTGGTATGATGTATAGGATGTCGATATATATATTACGGAGTTGGGTTGGGTTGGGTTGGATTAGGTTGGATCGGCAGAGTTCTCTGGTTGCTGAATTATATAAATACCATGCAAAGTTCATAAAAAATAAGGATAAAGAAACAGAGGACATCCTCAGACCAGAAAAGAAAAAGATATTATAGAGTGGAGGCCACTTGGCGCCGCCGCGGTGGAACAAAAAATGAATATGATTGAGAAAACAACCGAAATCTTGTTTCAATTAGTTTTGTTTTTTTTCCTTCTTTTTTTTTTTTTTGTGAGATTTTTATTTTTATTTTTTATCTTTTCCTTCTTTTAAATCGTCTGTTCGAACGACTTTCCTTTCCATTTGCAGTCAAACACGTTACAACAATGAAAAAAAAAAATTTGTTGACTGATCAAATAAATTTTTTACACATAAAACAAGTGCGAAACAAAACGACTTTTAGATGAGAACAAACATAAATTATGGTATTTTGGCATGACCATTTACATCACTTTAGAAACCCTTTATCATTGATTTCATACGGACTCAGAATTTAGGGTTTAGGGATGGACTCAGGATTTAAGGACGGATTTAGAATTTCCAAACTTGACTAGGCGAAATTTACTTTACATATATAAACATACTAAGTATATAGAAAACTCGATAGTACGATGTAATTTCATTGATAACAACAAATAATAATACACCTAATTAAGGGGGGGATAATAAGTCTTACTCCTCATAACACTATATAAGTTGCACTCTTCGAGTTTTCATAAAATTAAAATAATTCATTATCCATTCATTATCTATATGAGTTTGGTGACAAAGTCGACAACTCTAAGAAATAGTCATAAACAATTTCTTCTACTCTTTTTTTTTTCTTTTTCTTTTTTCCAAGGGCTGTGCATTTTTTTTTTCTTTCTTTTCTCTATTTTTTTCCCTTATGTGTAGAGATGTGCAGCTTTCCTCTTCTCCGTTTATTCTCCACGTGCAGTGCAAAGGATTCCTTGGGATGGTAGGTTATTCAATTGGTTGGGCTATAATTTTTTTTTGGGCTGGAAAAAAAAAGCCACCTGAGTTGTAGCCCAAGTTAGTCATGCTTATGGTCCGTCCCTAATTTCATCCCGATAACTCCAAGCGATGTCCTAAACTATTGTTGCACCTAACAAGCTAGAAGTCTAATAGTCTACTTTTGCACCCCGATGTCTTTTGCTTCATTCCCTTTCTCAGATACTATTTGTATACAAACAAAAGTTATATTAATATCTTTTGTATTGCCATATTTTTTGTCATCGTAACTTATGTACTTGTTTTATTAGAGTGTTTAGCGTTACATGTTACGGGTGAATAGTAAATACATCTAGAAGACAACATATGTTTTACGAATTTGAAATTTGAGACTAAGTATAAGATTCATTAATCTTTAACAGATACAAACATGACAATGAAATCATAGGTGTCTAATTCCCATTAGTTTTTGAGTTTGGGGGTAGGTTTTTCGTTGCGGAAGTTGGAAGAGAGACAAGTTATTTTGCACCAAATAAAGTTTCACATTTTGCATATCAACCATCACCTACGAATATAATATTTTCGAATGAAACATATCAAGGTAAATTAGACTATTTCATGCCGACTAGGTTACTTCGCACTTAAAAAATAAAATATGGGTGTAGGAATCAAATTTTAGGGTGCAGAGCAAATTACCCCTTCTATAGACTGGGCTTTTGGGCTTGAAGAACCTTTACAAAGCACACGAGGCCAGAGGTCCTATTTTTTTCTGGATCAAGAAGCCCAAAAATCTTTCATAGAAAAAGCCCCATTTATATAACAACTCGAGAGCTACGAAAGTTCGACTTTCCCAGCTAATAAAACCCTAGACCCCTTCTCTGCCTCAAGAGCAACAAGGAGCCGCAATGGTAATCTCCCTTCAAACCCTAAGAACCACATCTCCATTTTCCCCGACATGCTCTGTAACTGTGTTCCTCTTCATGTTTATACTCGCAGGGTATCGATTTGGTCGCCGGTGGAAAGAGCAAGAAGACAAAGCGCACAGCGCCCAAGTCCGATGATATCTACCTCAAGCTCCTCGTGAAGGTCCTCCCTTTGAATCTGAATATTTGTATATCTATTTTCTCTTTGTTTTGTGAAGCTTTTTTGGGTATTGATTTGTTTTTGGATCTGGGTTTCAGCTGTATCGGTTTCTTGTAAGGAGGACTGGGAGTAAGTTCAGTGCGGTGATTTTGAAGAGGCTGTTCATGAGTAAGGTGAACAAGGCCCCTCTCTCCCTTTCCAGATTGATTCGTTACATGAACGGGAAGGATGGTAAGATCGCTGTGGTCGTCGGGACTGTGACAGACGACATTCGAGTTTATGAAGTACCTGCTCTGAAAGTGACCGCTCTGAGGTTCACTGAAACCGCCAGAGCTCGGATTGAGAAGGCTGGTGGAGAGTGCTTGACTTTTGACCAGCTGGCTCTCAGGGCCCCTCTTGGCCAGAACACGGTATGTCTGTTGCCAGTTTACTTGTTTTTTCATATTTATTTGTATATTTAGTTATCCGAATGACCTGTAAGATTGTGGTTTTTGGGTTTTGTTGGATTTGATAGTTCAATTATGATATTTTGCCTTCATGCGTGCACTTCACTTGACTGAGAGTAAAATCTCATAGAAAAGTAACATGATCTTATATAGTCTTTTCACAATATGTAATTTAAAATCATGATCGTGCCAGCATCAAACCAAACCAAGGGTATTGTTTCAAACTTGTAGTTAATATGTGACACTAGGTTCACAGATATGGGTGCTATTGGGTGGTGTAAGTTTTCGGGATATGATATGATGACAGAAAATAAGTATTTGGGTTGGAGAGTAGAGTTCCATGGCAAATTGTCTACTGTAATTTAGCTTAGTAGTCGTTATGAAATGGACTGTTTCATTGTGAGAGGAGAATCTTGGAACTATTCGCAACACCATGTAGAGGACTATTTCATAGCGGAAGCGTAATATGTTGGTGAAGATTAATGGAAGCTGTCATGAAAATTGGAGGTGTAGTGTCTTTTTAGGTGCAAAAAGAGTAGTGAGGAGAATTTTGAGCCATCTGGTATAGGTAGTTACGGTTTTGAAATCTGATAATCTGTTTTGGTGCATTATAAGATTAGTATCTTCTTCTATTCATCCCTCTGTGTTCACAAGAATTTTTTTGAATAAAAGGATTATGCTGATAAATAAACAACGATTCTTTCTGCAGGTTCTTCTCAGAGGACCAAAGAATGCTCGTGAAGCTGTGAAGCACTTTGGACCTGCTCCTGGTGTGCCTCACAGTCACACCAAACCCTATGTACGATCAAAGGGTAGGAAATTTGAGAAGGCTAGAGGCAAAAGGAACAGCAAGGGTTTCCGTGTTTAAGAGTTGCAAAACGAGTCATCTACCTATTTTCAGTTGTGTTTTTCTCACTTTGCGTTATTGTTGGACCTATTATGTTATCAATAGCTTATCATCATCAATATTTCCATGGTTCCCTATGACTATTTTAGCTTTTGAGAGGAAGATATTTAGATTTTTGAAGGATTAATGGATACTTGCAGAAATGTATGGTAGATGTTGAAGATTTTGTTTAATTCGATTTTGGTTTGATATTATTACTTTTCTCGGCCTCACTCATCTTCATGCATGGAGCAACAAACAAATATTTTGATTTAGCTCATCTTCACTTTGATTTCTGAAAATGAAATCAATGGCTCTTCCAAAATTAATGAATTGCTGATGGTAAAGTTGAACCACTCTTATATTGTAATTTGTAAGGGCTAATAAATAAGCCTCGCTTTTGACTTATTACTAGAATTGTTACATGACTTGTTCATAGAATTATTACATAAAACAAAATGAGGCTTGCAGCATAATCACGATGATCAAAAGATAGAACAAGCTCTGCATTTTATTATTACATAAGCAAACCTTAAGGACGAAAATCTCAAACTAGATTCAACACGAACACGGTATGTCTGTAGCCAAACTTATTGAAGTAGCAACTGCAGCCAAACTTATTGAAGTAGCAACTGCGAAACAAACATAGTGGGCTAACAAAAATCAGAACTTATGGATGAAGTCATATACGTGCTGACTGATTTCGTGGGGCTTTTCTTGGTTAATAAAGTGAGCTCCATCTTCAATCACAACCACCTCTTGCAAAAATGGCACATCTCTTTTGAAGCCTCCATTATGTATATACTCCTTCATGCCTGGGATATGATAGGTGATGTCCAGGTCGCCCACAATAAACTTGACCGGTACTTTGATCTGTAGCCCTGTCCATGGTCCTGTAAGCTCCCAGGTTCTGCAACCAAGAAGAAAATACTTAATTGGAATATGCATCCAACCCATTTCAATACAAACAATTTTGCTTCAAGCTACTTAAATGTCATCTGATTGCTGATCTCTAACTCAAAATTTCTGTCGAGAAATTACCTTTACAATCTAAGAAAGACAATGTATTCAACATATGATAACCAATTCAAAGGGAAAGGGGTAGGTACTTACAAGTTCAAAGCTCGATAATAGTTCAATCCACCAACAAACCCCGTCTTGCTGAATTTGCTGGCAAAATAATTAACGTCCTCTTCTAACAGCCAAGGGGGCAAGGTTTCTGGAGTTTTCCAAGCTCTTAATCCTAGTTCTTTAGGTAGGCATGGAGGTTTTGGACTACGACCAGTAAGAAACTTTTTCATTATTGATGCAGCATCAAAACCAGCAAATTCTTTTTCGATCTCCCCAGGTTCCTACAGCACAGCATTCCTCAACAAAAGGATTTGATGCATGTATATATTTTCGTTATGAGAGTTACATAAGGATTTGAGTAACAAGAGCTATGCCTCAACAAAATCACCAAGAAACAAACAGTAGTCCTTAACAATGAGCAGGTATAAAAATTCTCATTAAGCTCAAACTGTGGCTTAAATTCATTAATCTCAAACGGTATTCAGCCGACGAATTTTCATAATTGCAAGTAGTCCATAACATGAATATATGAAGGACGGATCTAACAAAGTGGCAAACCGCTGGTCAAATTACCCAAGTCTGGTTTTGAAGGACGGATCTCTGAGAAGTAAAATTTGTGCACAAGGAAGGGGTGTGGGTTGCGCACAAGGAAGGGGTGTGGGTTGTGCAGTTGTAATAGTAGCCTAAAAGGAGGTGGTTGCGCAGACTGAATACATCATTAATGAGAACGAATTTAACAGGCGCATACACCCAATGTCAGTATAATAAATTCAACAGTTGACACCAAATATATAGATAAAAATAATCCGCATGCATATGATAAACGTTATACCATCCTGGGGAATATTCAGATTAAGCAATCTCCACAAAAAATAAATGAATTCATAAATGAAATGCGAACATGGAAAAGAAAAGAAGCAAAGCAAAAAAGAAGAGAAGTTGTTGTTGTAGAATAATTCAGCAAAGGGGAGCCAAAAAAAGGCAATTGGAATCTGACCCAATACATATCATATACTGAATCACAAAAAGATTGAAACTTTTGAATCAGATCGAAAAGGAAATTAAAAAATTGAAAGAATGTGATTTACCTGGAACCTGCAAATATAGTAATCATCACCAAACAAGGCCCTGAAACCATCGACAGGCTTTCTCTTTGGGTTCCTGGGACTGAAGGCCACACTCATGTTGACCAAGGCCTTCACCCGGTCAGGCCTGAACAAGCAGAACCACCAGGCAATGACGGCGCCCCAGTCATGGCCGACCAAGAAGACTTGGTCAATACCCAGATGGTCAAGGAGGCCAATGAGGTCACCAACTATGTGCAGGGCCGAGTAGGAGGCAGGGGAAGGTGGTGCGTCGGTGTCACCGAACCCTCGGAGGTCGGGGGCTATGCAACGGTAGCCCAAGGATGAGAGAGAAAGGAGCTGGTGGCGCCATGAGTACCAGAGCTCCGGGAATCCATGTAGGAAGAGCACAACTGGGCCTGTACCGATTGACGCTATGTGCATGTTTATGCCGTTTGTTCTTACCGTTGTGTGCTCAATTTTCTCCATCTCTGTTGACTCTCTCTGTGTGCCTTGGCTTCTCTGTTTCTTGCTCTGTTATGTTTGGTATTGTTATGTGGTGGGTGTATATATATATAGAGAGAGAGAGAGATAGAGAGATAGACTATGTAGCAGCCGTGTGACGTGTATGCTTCTTCTCGGTTACTGAGAGAGAGTCTTGTATTTTTCTATTTGTTGAAACTTGAAAGGATGAACACAACAAAATAAATTGTCCTTTTTTTCTTTCATCTAATTTTAGTTTCAGTTAAATGGGTGCCAATTGTTTCTTGGTGAGGAGGGCACGTTCATTCCAAGGAAATCGATCGGCAAATATTTGTGCAGTTTCGTCGTTCAAAGTTTCAAACAAACAATGGTACACTGTACGCATTGATAAAGTTAACATGCATTGGTGAGTTCAGTTCTGTTGTATACCTACCACTGTGCGCCTTTGTCCGTTTCTTAAATTCCAATTGAAATATGGCATGCCATTTTTCGTAATTTGCATGTTTCGCATATACGGGTTAAGTTAGTTGAATAAACGAGTGTATGTGTTCATTTTCACCAGACCCTACCTCATATAAAATGGAAGAAAAAAATTTGAATGAAAAGAAGACATCAATAATCATCAACATTATTAAAGAGATCACCAAATCAGAGTGTTGGATGTCCAGTGTGGGGAAGCAGGATTGCATTGCCATCACTTGGCAGTTGTAACTTGTAACACATTAATTGAGTTGAATTGAATGCACGATTCGACATTTCAAGATGATTTTTTGAGAGCAACATTCTGGTTAGGTGAGAGTTGCGATACTCTACTCAATCATTATTGGGTGACCACAACACGCATTAACTGAAATTTACTGCTTTGTTTGTTTCTCATTTTCACTTATTTCAGAAAGTGTATAGGCCCAGTTAGAAATGGATAGGCCCAGCAGTGGGCGAGAAAGTGAGAGCTAAACTTTGGGCATCAAACCCACAGTTTGAATTGAAACTAAGTGCTTAAAATAAAAGCAGATTAGATGCTAGTGGGTGAGTGAGTGAGTGAATTGAGGTCAGAAACAAGTTGCATTGCATCTTCATGTCATGGAAAGCTCCTTAAATTTGATTTGAGTGGGGGAGTGGGGGACTCTGTGAAAGAAAGATGTGGGTTTATTTTGTTTGTTGGCTTGGCATCGTGATTCTTTTTTGTTTTGTTTTGTTTTGGGTTGTCATCTTATTTTATAAATAAATATAAAGTTGTTGTTCGTGTGGATTAGGTAGAATATGAATGATTCAATTCAAGCTGATGAAATGAAAGGCAAACTATTATATATACCTCTGGTCGGTCCACTATTTTAGTTGTAGATCTAGACGCCAAATTGCCAATGTCATTCATTATCCTAAAATAATTTCAGACCCTCTTCTCTTCTCTTCTGTTCTCTTGTGCGTACGTTGGTTAATTAAGCTTTTTTATACCGACCTGAAATTGAATGGGGGGATGAGAAGTAAGTTTGTTCATGTAGCAAGTCCACTAAAAATCCTGTAATTCTGAATTGAATTGGGTTTTATCATGTGTACTTGTGGTACTATGTGCATGTGATGGATGATGAGTGAGTTAGATTTAGAGTTAAAGTCAGAGACATGGAATGGAATATCATTAAATTTCACGCACATCGTCAACCAGCTTTCGAAATCTTTTTCATTATTCTCCACCAAAACCGACACCAACACCAACAAAGCAGATATAGAGAGGTTCATGAATTCTATGTTTGCCTCATTCTAGTTTCGTGTTTGCCACTAATTTCTTAATCATCGCATTACGTAATACCCATCCATGGACTTATAAATATATATATATAAATGCAGAGCTCAGAGAGTGCAGAGGAATAATAAAGCCCGCCAGATACACACACCATATGTACATAATACACGTAGCCCAAACCAATTGCCTCGCCTCATAAAAACAAGGCACCACACACAAGACAAATCCAACAGTCATAGCATAGGAACCTTCCTTCCCCTTCCACCATAATCTTCCGTTACAATAACAATAAAACCCACCTCTCCAACTCCAACTCGACACCCAAAACAGAAAACAAACACCGCCCACGACAATTTCATTTCATTTCCTTCACCAAAACCTTTCTCCTAACTCGATCATAATTTCATATGGACATCACTAACAAATACAATCACCAAAACCACAAACCCACCAACTATGCTGTCAACGGTAAGATTATGCTCTGCTCAGTCATCATTCTCTTCATCGTCATCTTCACCATAGCTTGCTTCCACAGCTACGTCCGCTGCTTCTTCCACCGCCACCACCCACGCCGTACTCGCCGCACACCACGCTATCTCTTCCCCCACCCTGTTATTTCTTTCACCACCCTCCTCGAAACTACCCTCTCTCCGACCAATCCCAAGGCCTTGGATCCCTCTGTTCTCAAGACCCTCCCTACTTTTACTTACTCGGCCACCACCCGCATCAACCCAGCACCACTAGAGTGCGCCGTGTGTTTATCTGAGTTCGAAGACGAAGAGCAAGGCCGTGTATTGCCCAAGTGTAACCACACCTTCCATTTAGAGTGCATAGACACTTGGTTCCAGTCTCAGTCCAATTGTCCACTCTGCAGGGCTCCGGTTCAACCCGATATTCCGCTTCCTAGGCTGGAAATTTCGCCTGAAACGGCAATAACAGTGAATGAACCGGGCGGTTCGGAGCATGAGACGGCTGAAGCTAAAGTGGGTTGCTCGAGATGTTTGCCGTCGACGAGTGGTTCGGCGGAGGAATATGGGAGAAAGCCAATAATGGAAGTGGTGAGTATATCTGTATCCCGGGAGGAGGAGGTGTCGTATTATCATGGTTGTAATAATACAATTAGGGATAGTATTGATGAGAGGTTGAGGAGGGGTTTGGGTTCACCCAAAAACATTAATTACAATGGCTTCAAATCTTCATCAGGCAGCAAGATTCTCTCATTGAAGAGGATTTCGAGCATATAGAGACAGAAACAGAATACCTTATCCATTTGGAATTTTGGTAGCTACTGTGTGTAATTTACTAGTGTTGTACTTAAAAAAAAAGTTGTTTTTCTTGTGCTTTTAGAATGGAAGCTGATTTTCCCACTTTCATTTTCTCCACTTACACTCTCTTTTGCTTTTTAATAATTTTTAATCAATATTTGTTTTTCTTTTATGTTCTTTCTCTTTCTTATTCTACCTTTACCTTATATTAAGGTTTTGATAACTGTAATTAAGAAAAGTTAATATATATATATTTAAAATAAAAAGGAAATGGATAGAAATGTAAGTATTTGTATGCTAAATTCTTTTATTTTTATTTTTATCAATTATATGAGTACTATTTATCTTTGTTGTATTTAATAGATAATAACTTTTTTGAGCTAACATGTTTACAGGTAGAAGAACCAAAAAATGCTACTAACCAAACTGTCATTAGGAGCTTAGATATGCAGAGAGAAAGGTATGCATAATAGTCTCATATTTTTATTCTTTCAAAATATTAGTAAGTGATTGTACATGTCTTCTTATTAGAGGGAATCGTAGAGTAAGTGTAGAATAGGAAAGAGAATGAACAAAAAGAACAAAAATGATTAAAAAGTATTAAAAAGTAAAAAAGAAGTGTAAATGGAGAAAATATGAGTGGAAAAATTACCTCCTTTTGGAATAATCAGTTGTGAAAAAAAGCACGTAGGATTTTGTAAACAGTTTTTTAAAAAGTGTTGTGAGTAGTCAAAATATTTGATAAATTTTTATGAAAAGTGCTGTTATTTTGTATAATGACAAAAAGGACATGAATCATGACGATGAAACTAGTTGTTGTTTTCTTTTACTTTTTCTACTTTAAAAATAGAAAACCAACTTGATAATATTTTTAAGCAGCTTTTAAAAGCTGGCTTGTCCCTGCTTTGAAAAAACAGCAGTTCCAAACAGCGGTCACTGACCACAATTTAAAAAAAAGCTGAGTCCTGACATTTACCAAACAACATAGTTTTGAATTGTTTTTATTAAAGCTGCTTTTAAAAAAATTGAAGTACTACCAAACGCTGCCTTACTCACCTGCTACAACTATCGATGGCAGCCACCCAGCAATGGAGAATTTCTGGAGCCTTGTTTTGCTTTGCTTTCCTTTGGCACATATGCTTTTGTTTTGGTCCTGTGTACGCGTCTTAGTAATTGGTACTTGTATATGGTACTTGTATTGTATTGTATACATCAAAACCAAAGTACATATATATACACTATTAATGGGCTTGATTTGTGAGAATAGTCCAAGGCATACCGACTTGAGCTATGCCCATCAAACTCAAGCGGCCCGTAAACATGAGAGAGAGAGAGGTAGCGATACCCACATAAACCACGCGGCCCCGAGAAATGAGAGAGAGAGAGAGAGAGAGAGAGAGAGAGAGAGAGAGAGAGAGAGAGAGAGCTGCTGCATAACCATATATTGAGTGTTAAAATTGGAGGAACAAAATCTAGTTAATTATAAGTGGGTTAAAATGAACGTCCAAGACGCGTTTAGAGATTAGGAGGCTCGGCTCTCTGTCCTAATAAACCGCAACATTGAGAGGTTCTTGTGTATCCCTCCTCATATTTATATACTCATTCTCCTCTCCCCGTATAATTAATTAAATAAAAGCCTTAATTAATCTCCTTCAATTAAAAAAGAACAAGAACAATGAATCCCATTGCAGCAGCACCATTTGTCTTCCTCTCAACATTGTCTGTGCTACAATTTGTCCTCGTTGCAGGCCATGAAAGTCAAGGCACAAACGGCGGCAGCAAAGCAGGCGTGGTGAATATGAACCTCATTCAACAAGCATGCCAGCATGCGCCTCACAAGGACCTCTGCATCAACGCCCTCAAGAACGACCCCAACAGCAAAGGAGCTGACCTCATAGGCCTCGCCTACATCTCCATCAGGCTCGCCGGCGCATACGCCTCTGAAGTGGACGCGCACTTGAGATCACTGCTCATAAACAACGCCACCACCTTATCGCCGGTGGTCCAGCAGGGCGTGGCCGACTGCATTGAGCATTACTCCGACGCGAACGAGCAGCTCGACGACTGCGTAGCCGCCATGTCCACCAAGAACTACAAGGACGTCGAAGTCTGGGTCAACGTTGCCATTTCTGACGCTGACTACTGCGATAACTCGTTCGCCGGAGAGAAAAGCGTCGTTTTACAGAAGAACGAGGAGTTTCGCCAGTTGTGCAATAACGTTTTGGCCGTCGTCAAGGCCTTGCCACCCCACGGCAAGGAGTGATTATGTACATATGGAATGGATCCACTTTAATTTTAATTAGTAGCTAGCTAATTGATTGAAATTAATTTCTGTAATTAATATTATAAAATTTTCAATAACAATTGTTGGTTTTATTTGTGAAATGCTCAACGTGTTGTGATCTCATTTCTCGCCAAACTCAGAAGGTGATTATTGATGTCGCCACAAAAGTTTGTGGTTCCGTCACCAAGCTGATGTGATCAATTTCGGTTCTGCATGTAACGTAACAACTTAAGATAGCAATATTAATTAATTCCTAATCACATGTTCCTGATTTTCATTAATTAAGACTAGTCTAGGATGGATCGATAGAAGAAATAATCCCAAGGTGGTTAATGAACACATGCACGTGAGAGAGGGAGGCGGACAACAAGGGTTGCTTTTGATTGATCCTATTCATTCCAGTGTTTCAGATGCGTCTAAAGCCAAGATAAACAACAGAAGAGAGTTTTAGGAGGTTGGGAAAAATAAACAAAACAGAGTTTTAGGACGAATCAGTTTTGTTACAGAATGCAGGTGCAAACAAGATGATTATAAACATATCAAAAGATGTTGACAGCCCGTAATCTTTAGATTTTTGTGGAAGGAGGAGACGTACAGAAATAAACTGACATCAATCACAAATTTTGATATCGACATATTTGAGATGAGCACGTCAGCATAATCCAACCACAAATTTCAAAAAACTGAGGCATCTCAATTTGTAATCTGTTGCCCGACACAAAACAGAGTACTGTATTCAATTAGGCGTGGCTTGGCATTCAATGCCCTCATTCATGTATGGAGACTGTTTGATTTTGACAGTGCTTGACGTCCTCATGGGCTTATTGACCAGAGCGCCCAACTAGTCATGGACGTCTGCAGAGGTAGATAGGACAGAATTCATAGAATGATTGATAAGCCAAAATGACGACCAACCAGTTGGATGCCTATCTATGCTTCAAACCAATTGTAAATTGCATCAGGAAAGCTTCTTCTAACGTTTGATTGTTCGTTGTTGGAAATAAAGTCAATCAGTAAACAATACAAGAAGTAACCATTTACAATTTAAACTGGTTTACTATTCTTGGTTCAGAACCAAGTTGTAAATTGGGAATGCTTAATTGGGCATTACATCCTTATTACTTCACTTTTAAAAAATGACAAAAAGAGAAAGAACAAATGGCCTGCTGCTATGTCCAACAAGTTTCTCAAATTAACCCACCAGTGTAGGGCACTCCTGTTTGAGGCAACCAATCATCCCCCAGCAAGAAATTGGTCACAGTGAAATTAGCAGCATCGGTAGCATTAATCACATGGTAACCTGTCCATGTAACTCTGCTTGTAGTGTTTGATCCGGGACCGGTGTTGTTATACTCTGCATAATACAAAGTGCTGAGAGCAAACTCTCCATCCCATGCCCGCCAACCAGCAGGATCCACCACACTATCAATGTAAGATTGCATATAAACTGTCCTTGAATATTCCTTCCATGGCCTTCCCAGATAAGTCTTGCTACTGCTGTTGCTCGAAGCCAAATCGTCAGCTGCCCTTATAGTACAATTGTGAATCGAAGTGCCCGTGTTTTGATTCGGATCGGTTCGACCCTGAGCCGTGATGGCATTGAATTGGCCACTCATTGGCAGCCTGGGATATAAGTTGCAATTTTGGAAAACAACTGCAGCATTTCCAAATATGAAGTCTACCGTGCCATAGATGTCGCATTCTCTATAGAATTGCCTCAGAGAATGTGTGTATAAGGTGTCTTGGTACGCTTCGAAGCTGCAGCTATAGAATGTGGACAGATCAGCCCCGTTGCGAACTGCAACCGCTTGGTGCTTGATTGCTCCCGCAGTGTTACGGAAGGTCATGTTCACTGCTACAAATCCAGGTGCAGTTACAGCTGCAATATTCATGTACAAATTCTAGTAAGATACTAATAAGCATGTTTGATATGTATAAGATTCATACATATACACAATCAAATGGTCCTGATTAATTTAGAGTCTTTTAATTTGTTGTAGTTTAAGACTTACCAAATGTTGCAGAGTTGAAAGTTGTCCACCCATCAACGACGCTTCGGTTGCCGGTGAGAATGGTCTGGTTGATGCCGTCCCCGACCATCATCAAATACCTCTTATTTTTAGCAATGGAGACGTACTCTTCATAAACACCGGCGGTGACATAGATCAAGAAGTAGCCGTCAGTTGAGGCAGAGTTGTTCGGGGCTGCAGCAATGGCGTCATTGATGGTGGAGAAGTTTCCGGTTCCATTCTGGCTCACCGTCACGACTTCACTCACCAAAACCCCATCATCCTCCGTCTCCGTTTGAAGCATCTTTCTCTTGGTGACGCCCTCGTAAACGGCACGTGTTCGGCTCGACATTTTGAGCGGCAGGCGTCCGTTTTTGAAGCCACGCTGGTTCCTGGTGGGCTTCCACGTAGCCGATTTCTTCTTCTTGGGCACCCAACCCTTGGTGAAAAGGGCAAGGGAGACGCTGTAGAACTTGGTGTCGTTGGGTGCAGAGAGGCCAGTTTTCAAACTCCAAGCAGAAGCGGTGGATTGAATGCCGTCCAAACAGGTTTGCTGGTTGGTGAGAATGGCGCTAAGAGAAGTTTGGACGTCGTCTGCTTTGAGATTAGAGAGAGTCTTGCTAGTCTTATTGACGGTTTCAAAACTGTTAAGCAAAAAGTCCATGTTGAGCCCGGCAAGCAACCTGCAGTCCTCGAGAGCTCGGACTGCGGTCAGGGACAAACTGGATCGGCGTTTAAGATATTTGTCGACTAAGTTTAAGAATTTACGGGACTGAGATAACGATTTCCGGACCGAGAAGCGGCCGTAGTAGTAAACATTTTGAGCAGTTTGGTTGTGAGGAAGCACAGATTTGCAAAAAGAAGGGTCAGGGGTGGACTTGCAAATGGTGCCTGCAGAGACTGGGCTTGAGGAGTCATTTGCAGCCAAAGATAGAGAGGCAAAGAAAGGAAGAAGGATGAAAAATGAAGCTACGATGAGCTTAGAATAAGCCATTGGATTTGAAATGGAATTGGAAAATAAATGTATGCTAGCTATTAATGGAATGGAATTGCTATATGTTATGGGTCGGGTTCAAATATATATAGGGGGTCGAGCTGAATATATTATATTATTGGCTTATTACTTAATAACATAGTCGTTGGAGTAAATTAACAAAATTTGGTGGCTACTTTGTATTTATTTATGAGGTCAACTCAATTGGGAGACTTCGTAAAATGCGCGTTTTGATCTTGGCCTTGATGTTGTTGTATGCGTTGCCACCAACAGTGGCCGAAACAAGCTGTTGTGCAAATTTTGATTTGCGGGTTCTCTGTGTTATTGTTTACGGTAACCTACCTTGTAATTTCACAAGTTTATAATCAATAAAATTTCATGTAACAAATCCTTTTCTTCATTCCTTTCCTTTGAGTTTGAATTGACAGTGGCTCAACACTTGGATACAATGGTGCCATTTGTCAACGGTTGGGTAGGTGCCAGCCGGATTGGTGACATCGAAAGGTCAGATGGATATCAATCCCTCCAGATTTATATGTAAAAAAAACTTTCTTCCAGATTTTGTCTCTTTATTCTGGTAGTGGGTGTAGTTTTAAATTCGATGGGGAAATTATTGTCAACTAACCCTGCGCTTAACATTGCAATATATGGATTAACGTAATTAAATTTTGAAATAAAAAAAAGTTTAATTAGTATGCATGTCACAGTGTAGATATATTTTACTATTGATGAATTATAGTCAATTAAGATAAACTAATCAATACAAGGAGAAAAGAAGAAAAGTTTAAAGGAGTTCCATTGGTGACGGTGGATTTTGACTATACTTTTCTATGGTACGTTATATTGACAAATGACGAGGATGTGTTTGGAAGTATATGCATGTATTCAAGGGCACCAAAAGCGATGTGAACCTACATTTCATGTATGATTTGGTTTAAACAATCATGGAAGGACACATGTTTCTCACTTACTTCCTAAAATCCTTGTTGGCCAAAAACAAAATCATTCAATGAATCAAATGATAAATGATGCAGCGTGACAACATAACAAAACAATCAAATAGTTAGTAAATATTTGATTTTAGCTCGTGCGACGTTTCAACTCTTTTTCTATCAGTAAACATTAGATTTTCTAATTAATTTGGACATGTTACATTGTTAAATGGACCATTCAAAAAAGCATCCAATCATTTGGACAAAAAAAGAAAAGAAAAAAGAAAGCATTCAAATCCAAGCATACAAAGTCGCGGAGGTCATTATTCATGTTTAATTTTCTTGGGTCTTTGGGTCGTCTTTTCTCTACGATGACTTGCGGAGCCAACGAACAAGTTAAATAATTTAAGTTTGACTGGAAACATATGCATGCATTCTGTAAACGCGTGGATCCTGTTTGGGTCTCGTAGACTGACATACATATATGAAGGGAGGGTGAAGCTGATCAAGACGGTGGACACAGTCAGAGCATAGTTTTGCCCTACTTAACAAGTTGGGTTTGTATATATATATAGATATGATATGAGTGACTAATGATAGTCAAAGGAGCCGAACTTACATTCCCAGTTAAAACCTTCCCTTTCAATGCGGAAACATGTCATGTGGATGTGGTAGCTACTAGCTAATGCAGCAAATGGAATGAAGCTTCCTGCTTCCTCAATCTAAAACCCTAACTTTTAATGTTTAATTCCACTTGCTTGATAGTTAAGTAAAATTAAACTCATCATAATATTAATAATGTTTTCCAGTGGCTAAGATCTCAGACCAAGAATATTTTCCATACATACGCGGATCATTTTTAAAAACTCAACTGTAATGAAGCTTCTATTCATTATAAAATGCTGAGGAGATATATAGTCGTTACTAGAAGTAGATTAAATTAATGGGCATAATTAAGAATTTAAAAAAAAAGGTCAAACGCAGGGCCCAGCAAGCATGACTTGAAGTTTGAATTGAAACGCATACGTTCAAACTAGGCCAACACATCCGTATATTATCATTTGGTATTGCGGCTTTGAATTGGAGCCCTTAAAATGTTGGCGACATTTATTATATATGGGCAGCGTGAGGGTTTTGGCAAGCTCTATGTAACTCATAAATTTCTCCACAAGTTGTTAGATTAGGTATTTGCTCATGCCAGAAAATTAATGCCTACTTGGTGTTGTCAATTTTATTTAAGAAATAATATAGCCGCGCGGCTATACTCCGGTTTTTATTTTTTTAACGGGATAGTATAGCCGTATGGCTATACTCGGTTTTTTTGGAATTTTTTAAAGAGCGGCGATACTTGGTCTCCGAAAATTCTTCAACGAAATAGTAGCCGCGCGGCTATACTCAGGTTTTTATTTTTTTAACGGAATAGTATAGCCGTATGGCTATACTATGTTTTTGGAAATTTTTTAAAGAAATAGTATAGCCGAGCGGTAATACTTGGTCTTTGAAAATTCTTCAACGACATAGTAGCCGCGCGGCTATACTCAGGTTTTTAAAAAAATAGAAATAGTATAGCCGTGCGGCTAGACGTGGGTTTTTCAATTTTTTAAAGAAATAGTATAGCCCAGCGGCTAAACTCTGGAAATTAACGATTCTTGTTTGAAACACTCAAATCAAAACAGACATTTTAAAGAATTACTCTTATATATATATATATATATATATATATATTTTCCTGAGAGAACAAGCGGGATAAGGAATTAGTTAATT